CCAAGGTCCTCTGTAAGACTAGCTGGTGCTCTTAACCTCTGAACAATTTCTCCACCCCAGCCCATATTTCTTGATCTTTTAAATTCTTTACTCTCTACTTTGGGTGAGCATACAATTATTACATGGCTTACCTCCATTCTGCACCAACCCCACCTCAAGCATCTATCCAAAATAGCTCTTTTGTTACCCAAATTAAAATGTCCAAAACTCAGCTTTCCCCATCTCAACAAAGTCCTCGAATCACATCTTAGTCCCTTTCATTTTATCATATCTTGAATCTAAATCATCAGAAATACGTTAAATCTACATTTAAAACAGCTCCAGAATCCCACTATTTAAATTCCACCACTACTTCTATTTTTTAAAAAAGGTAAAACAACAACAACAACAAACCCTGCTACCTGAGTGGATAAAAAGACACACGGGCAGCCACTAAGAGTATCCAAAAGACTGAAATACCCGAGCAGCTAGGCTGTCATGAGATGCATATGATACACATTGGTCAGGAGCAGAGAGCTCCTTCGGGAGCAAACTTGATGAAATCCCTTTCCAAAAGGACCTTAGAAACCCAGGAGCATTCTTGGTCCTCCAGAAAGAGTGGGACAAAGTGTAGAAGAGTGGACCAAGGCAAAGTTGATCTGTACCATAATTTGTTAAGCAAATGAAGAATAATCTTCAAGGAATGGAGACCGACGGCTCTTGACGGCCTCTCCTCCAGGAGAGTCGACCTAGGTACAGTATTCTGGGTGGGGACAGGCTAACTCAAGTGCTCACTCCCATGGTCTCGAGGCCATGTCCATCCCATTGTGGAATTCTTTCATTCAGTCCTCATTTTTAGTTCTGACTCCAAAAATCCTTTGGGCTCCTTGGAATCTCCAGCCTGCTGACTCTGTTGAGTTTCTACTGTCACTTGACCCTTTGTCGTTCTGTTTCTCTTCTCTTTCTAAATTCCAGTAAAATTTGCAATCATCTGTTGCTCCTCAGTCACTTCAGTATAGCCATTTACCAGACCCACAACCTGCTTCAAAGTCTGTGCTCCAAGTTTTCTGCACTTGTACCCTCCAGCTGACTTAGGCTGAGGAAAGGATAGGACTGCATCAGCTAATCTTGTTCTCAGTTCACAGTCATGAACGTCAAATAGGCCTTTACTGCTGATAAGCGGTCACACTGCACCTCCGAGTACCCACTTCGGCTCTCCTCCTTCCTCAAACGCTATACTTCCCTTATCTCTGTTCTTAATTGGAACTACTGCTTTTTACTTTATAGAGGAAATGAAAACTATCAGATCTTACATAGATTCCTCCATGGATGCCTTTCCCAACATTGTTACCCAAACCCAAAACATCCTGCTTCTTGACAGCATGCTTCTGTCTAAAATCAGTCTTCATATGTGGTTCACAGAGCTCCTCCCTGCACAGAACCTCCTCTCTACTTCAAAAGATGCCCTGCAATCTTCTGCTTCAGTCTACCTCCACTGCTTCATCTTTGATCTTGAATACTTCCTGATCCATCTTACTGCACTCGCCTCTGCCGCCTACCGGACTTCACAGTGGTTCTCAGAACAAGTACCAGAGGAATCCTCGCAGGATAGAATCATGTTAGATCACATGCGCCCTGACTCTGAGTAAAAGCCAAAAGCCTTTTAAGAAATGGCCTTTTGGGATTTACAGGATCTACAGATCTACACCCCCATCCATGGTTGAAGGAATCCATATGCATTTGGCTTATCTGCTTAAGCTGGAAACTTCAGATCCTTCCTTGAACTCATCCCTTACCTGTGCACACCAACTGCCTCGGTCTGTTCCTTCCCTTTTGTATGTCTCTCAAATCCATGCACATCTACACACTAGTGATGGCAGCTTCTCCCCACCTCTATCCTCATCTCAGGTATGCTTGTGCATATTGATACTAATCTACTTTGTAGATTTCAAGTAATAATATTAAAAATAAGAATATGAAATAGTAATATTAAAGTATATTAGTTTTTATAGTATACAAAATGCATTCACATAAGCAAATTCATTTATTACCACAAATATCCAAGGAAGAAATATTAGCGTCCCTTTTTGGCAGATTGAGAAATAGAGGAGTGATGTGATGGAAAATACCAAGCAAATCCAGGATGTAACTGACTCAAACCCAATTCCTTTTAATGTATGCCACATGGGAGTGTTTTTAGCGGCAGATTCTCATATTCAGAGGGTAAAAATTAACTAATATGTAAGACAATAAACTTCTGTTTCAAGTAGATAAATAAATCTACCTTAAAAATTTTAGTGTTAAATTTTTAAACATTTTCATTTAAAGAAATCCTTCCACATTATTACAAAATATCAGTCTATTGTAAAGGTTTTAATGAAATGTGGAGGTGACATATTGTATTATAAAGTCACAGCAACATGCTACTGGAACGCATCTCCAGTGCTAAAGGTTAGTTTTTGACTCTGCTTAACGGTCAGACCTGAAAGGTCCCGATAACAATTGTTCCTCACATTTTAGATGATGTAGTAAATGTGTGTTCTTATCCTCTCTGCCTGGTGGTCAGGCCTTGGAAACTAGACCTACAACTTCTCTGGCTTTCAGTGAAAATAAAAAGGAAACTATTTCTAGCTATCTTTAAAGATTGTTTTTAAAAATCAAATCATTAAAATTTGTTTATTGTTCTAAATAAAATAAGGCTGAAAAAGATTTTCCTAAAGACAAGTATAAAAATACTTGTCATCCCTCCCATTTGGGGATTTTAGATCTGGAGCTAGGCGTTCAAATAAGTTCTGGTTGAATAATAATTACACACCCAGAACCTTTCCAGGGTCCATATGCCGTTTTCATTTAGAAACCATATCCCATCTTTCTTGTCCTATAAAACTGTATCTGGTGCATAATAAACAATAAAGGCTCACTGGATGGATGCTAGGCTTGTATAGACTACGGAGCTATGAGAATGCCACACACAATTCCTGTGACTCCGGCTAACAGTTTATTAATTAATGTTTATTGAATGCTCACTTAGTGCCAGACATGATACTTTGCTAATCACTGCTGTATAAGCACTATCACACTACAGGGTGGGGAAATCTAATTAGTTCATTGTTCATCTAATTCTACAGAGAAAAAACATGGTTCCACAAAAGGTCAAGCTTCCTAGTTAGGTTGGAGGTTCAGTCTCATAATTAGTAATCAAATTTAGGCAGCCTGAGTTCAGGACCTATGATGTACCAGATTCATCTATTAGTGTTTACATTCTAGAAAGAAGAGAGAAGACAGTAAGTAAATGGGTTCTCAGTATCATTGTATTTATAAATTAGACTACAGAAGAAAGAAAAAAGGAAGATTTGATAGAAGGGATTAGACCAAGCTGGTCATGGTGTTATACACCTGTAACCCCAGCATTCAGGGTGCTGAGGCAGGGCCATGAGTGTAACTAGCCTGGACTATATAGAAAGACCTTGCAAGCCCCAAATTATTAAAGTGAATGCAGCAACACAGAACAATAGCTGAGAACATGGGCTTTGGCATCAGGTTTGAGTCCAAGTGATGCTTGGATTGGCTGTTATTTAGTTTATAGTCTTCTTTACGTCTGTGTTTTCTTCACTGCAGATAATTTAATGCATACATTCATCATGGTTAAAATGAGTTAATATAAGTAAATGCCTAAAATGTTATCTGGCACACAGTGCTATTTGAATATTTGCTTGTTATTGTTACTGAAGTGACTTTATTTATTTTTGCTTCTTTTCATGATTATTATCATACTGAGGGCTTCTACTCAGAATAGTTCAATCTGGGAAGCATCTCTGATGAAGTGTATGCAAGCTAAATCCTAAATGATGCTTAATCACATAAACATTGAAAGACAGAGATTGCAGGTGGAAGGAAGTAAAGCGCCAATGTCCCAGAGCCAGATGCCCAGCAAAGGAAGCCTGGGTAAGTCAGCTAAAGGTAAAGTTCAAGGGTGACACTTGGCTTCACTGGCCTTGGTGAAGAGCTGGATTCTTTTTCTACCCGTGAGAAGCCTTTGGCAGCTTTTATGCACAGTAATGGCATGCTTTGATTTGCATTTTGTAACTATCACTCTGACTGCCATGAAAGGTTGCATTATGACTGCCACAGAATTTCAGCCTCGCTGCTTGGCACTGTTTAGCTTTTTTCCTCCCTCAGAGAAAACAATTCTTTGGCTGCGTGTTTCAGAATGCTTGTACTAAAGCTTTAAAAAGTAGTGTCAGTTAAAAGGCTTTACGCATGTACATATATCGATCTGCATACAGTTTGAATACAGATATGTTCAAAATTATGACATACCATGAGTGACCTTAGGTTATCATTCTAAAATGCACACTAATCATATCTACTAGGTTTCAACTCTTTGAAAGAAAGGAATTAAATTGTTTGCCTACTGTAAATTAGACAGAGGAAGAAACTGGGTCCTATTCCTCATATGGATGTCCCTGGGCTTTACCATTTAGGTATTATAAGGGAAGGAAATACCGTTAATCTGATTAGGCAGGGTCAGGAAGGTTTCACTAGTGGGTGTTGTTACTTTCCTTAGTCCTCCCTCTTACATCCTTCCTCTCCACATTCACCTGCATTTTAGCAAGTGATAGCTACCTTAGCCCCACTATCCAACTCAGTATTAGTAAATACCCTAGATATGGGCTCTACAGTTTCAAAGCACCTATCAACAGGTTCATCTATTACTTAGCAGTCAAAACTGGGAGGGGGTAAATGGCAGTGGAAGAAGAGCATTTCAAGGTCCGTGGCTATTCTACAACCATAACAGTATTAAATTGTCATCTTTGACATTTAACACTGGAAAGATTATTGTCTTCAAAAGCAATACTATAGCCACAACTATGATGAAATCTTAAAGCTTTAGCCTGCTTCTCATGTAATGTGAACCTGAAATAAAATTTGTATGAAGATTCCTCTTAATTACCATAACTCATAAGGGCTTTACTCTTAAAAAGCTTAAAAATATACCTGTATAAAGTGACCTGCTTTACCTGTGTGGTCAGGCCTCTCATTCTTGACTTCTGTGGTTCCCCCAGAAGAGGTGGGTGGACTAACTGGAGGGCTGGGAGTAAAGCTGGTACAGCCTGTAGATGTGCTGATTTCGAAGTATTCTTGGTTGTGATTCATTCTTTGGAAATCCAGAGAAGATACAATGGATGTCCGTTGCTTTGGCTAAAATAAACATGCATGAGAGTATTAATAGTACCATATTCATCTTTAGCCCCATCTATCTATTATATTTAAGTAATGAAGGTTTGTTTTCATTTAAACTATCTGGTTTCTGAACCTAAAGTATAATGTACTACACAAAGAGACACTGAACAATCATTTGATGACTTAAAGAATGAAAAGTTATTTAACTGAAAAATATTATGACACAGTACATTGAATACTTGAGGCTTTTTGACTTCTACAGAAGATGGTAAAAATATAATACACAGCATTTCTCTAAGTGATCAATTTTGAAAGTTGCAACTTTAAGTCATCTTTCATTCAACTAACATTTATTAAACACCTGGCATTTGCTAGACCCTGAGGATACAGAATCTAATAACAAAAGGTCCCCTCAACATTGAAGTATAATTAAGGCATTATAAGGTTCCATTTTTGGTTCTTTGTATAGTCCAAGGAATTGGTGGCATTAGCTATTATCTCCAAGTACTATATGCTGGAATTTAATCATGAGAATTAAGTTAAGTTATATGGAACATTTTCCAGGATCTAAGAATCTACTTGGTATTTGTAGTGAACTTTTATTTTCTTTTTTAAAGATTTTAATTAATCCCCAAATAGCAGGAAAAGTCAATTTAAGCATGAAAGTTAAAATCATGGAGCAATAGCAGATAAAATTTATGCCCTTTGTCAGTAATGGATTACTCCCAATAGAGGTTTTCTGGGTTCTTTTCTGCCAACAGTTTTAATCATATTCATATTTTTCATGCCTACTCAAGCTTAAAACAGTGTCCTTTAGAAGAATTTCAATCCTTTTGGCTCTCAGATCTATGTACATTTTCCAAGAATCAGTCTAAGTTTTACTTTTTATTTTTCTTATTTACTTAGCTGTAATATGCATAATATTTGTAATAAGATAAAGGAGACCGGATATAACTTTTATACAATGAAGTTTCTTATATCTTTACTTTCCTCAGAGTACAATGACTCTTCACAATGTTTTCATTGCTCTAAACTGTTTGGTAGTTCAATCACTGTTTCCAAAGATCACTTCCTACAGAAACTCAAATACCATGTCTCTTCCAGCTCATTGTGTTTTTTTAAGTGGATATCAAATAGATATCTAAAACTATGTAAAAGGCATGAAATGATCACTATATACTTTATTCTTTCATCTTTGCGATATTTTAAAAAAGAGTTTGAGAGGCATAAACATTGTTTTACAAGAGCATGGAAGTCATTTATTATCATGACACAACTCAGTAATAAAATTCAGATTAGTACCCACACAAGATTCAGTTGCTTTTGAAGTGTGAAAGATGGGGGTTTAATGTCAGGCTTGGTTTCTCATGAAATATCTACGCTTGGGGCTACCGAATCTCAATTTCACATTCAATGTCCTTTCCACTAGATTCTGAGAAGCCATTAAAGAGGCACCAGCTATGACATGGGTGCCAATAGAAACAGATACGTCCATCATTCAAGATTTGGTTTTATTGTTTCATATTGTGTTTTGCTTCCCTTTGTGTACAGGCAATGGACCACTTTTCTACTAATGTTCCCTCCTAAAAGTTTTATAATGGTCAAGTCAGGTGCATATGATCTTCTTCTAAGTGTTTCTTAAATATGTGTTCCTGAACCCTGGCTGCCAACAATTCTAATTGCATTAAAAATACAATTTGTTACATAATTATGAAGATGAACAGGCTAATTTTTCCTACATTAATATGTCCTACAAATATTGCTGGACATACACTTAATTGCAGATACCAGGGCATGGTTAAGTGTTGCAGTAACAATAAAAAAGTGGCATTCTAGATCTTGAGTGGGAGGAGAGATGATACACAGGGACAGAGACAAGCAACACAGTACATACTGTACAGAGACAGGAGCTGCAGTGAGAGAAGCACAGAAGTTAGGAAAATCATAAAGTGGATCTCAACTTTCAGGAGGGTACAAGGAAGGCCTTTGATGACAGGTAATTCATAGGTGAGTGGAATCTTGAGAAATCAGAGGCAGAAACCAGACAGAAGAAGGAGAAAGAAAGGAGAGAACTGCAAGAGGTTCATTGTGGCTATAGTGCACACTATATGAAAGTTGTGGTGGGTTCAGGACATGAGTTATAGAAACTGTAGGTACCAAAACATGAAGGGCTTTCGTTGCTGTGCTCGAGAGCTTGTTCTTCAACATGAATATATTGAGGAACTATACTGGTTTTCAAGTAAGAGTACTTCTTAATTGTGCTAGTATTTTAGAAAACTAATTTTAGTATTTAAAGAATGAATCGGTGAGAGTCAAAACAGAAGAAGGGAGAGAAGAGAGGCTAGTCAGGGAAATATACAGTTTCAGCTAAGACACTATAAGGTCTGTAATGAAGCAGTATTGATAGGGTTGGAGACAGTGTTTTTAGAGGGTAATATAGTTGTCTTAGGACTTGGCTTCTGATTGGCTGTGACAGTTGATTTTTAGTAAGAAGCCTAAGGTAATAGACTTCATAATTTGGTGGTGTCATCAGGTAGATTACTTTGTGGGAAACAAATGTTTAAACCTCTATACCAGAAGTACATAAAAATAGACCTATATGCTGTAGTGAGTCAATGCAGACCACTTACCACATGCTTTATGCAAAGTTACATGATACATCTTTTTATTTGAATGGAGAATGATGATCTCACTCTGAAATATGGCTTTACAAGAAAAATATGGAAGAAGGGAGAGAGGCTAAAGGAAATTACAGAGAGAAACGACTCAGCAGAGACCTTCTGGCCTCAGTCTTGCTTCCTTCCTCAGAATTGTCTAAGGGCTATTATTAGCCAGCATGAGAAGCATCCAGGAGGTATTCAATGCCCAAAGGTCACTGAGCAGCTGAGGTGATAGAAAATGAAAATCGTTGCAAGTCAGTCATGTTCTGAGACTGAGGTCAGCATACTATGGTATCATGCCCTGTGGTCCAAATCTGGTTTTCTTCCTATTCCTGAAAGACTCCTTCACTGCCCACTCATTTACTCACTGTGGTTGATGTCATGTTACATTGGGAGCACTGAATAACTGAGAAAGGCCGTACCACCAGTAACATTTAAAATATTTGCTGCTGACCCTTTGGAGAAAACATTCGGCAATGCATACTCAAAGAAACCATTTCAGACATACACAATTACTGAATGCTCAGTATGACTGTAACTATATTAAACACTTATTTCTCAACTTATTTGCCTTTGGATTGGGTTTTATGGACTCACTGAGAGTACTCAACTATTGGTAGAAGTAAGCTTTCTTGATCTCTTTCTTACTGATCAGGTGATGCAGCTGCAAACTGAAAGATCATACAACCTATACTGGGTTTTATGAGAAGTTAAAATAAAGACCCAAAGATATTCTGGTTCGTCTGTCAGATAAACATTATTTACATTAATTATTACAGAACACAATAGCTGAGAGAGGTCAAATGATGTACTCAGGATTATATATAAAAGAATGATGCCTCAAAACACAAGGCACAAAAGCTGGCAGAATGAAAACCATTTCTATGAAAATTGTAATCATAGGAGTGAAGAAGAAACAATAGAGATGGTAGTGATAATAAAAATGGCAATTGAGAGCATACACTCAAATTTTAATATGTATCCATTCTAATTTTATAACTATACAAATGGAATTCTGCTAAGCTTTTAGGTATAAGAAAGAAGGCATTTTTCACAAACTCACTGAAATTACAATGGAACTTGCCAAATTTCAATGTGTAAAATGAATTGTGTTCACTTTGATTCCTCCTCTGTAAAACACCCCCCTTCCCTATGATATAGTACTCACATCTTTTTTTTAAATACCTATTTACTACAGGAGTCAGGAAACTAAAGCTCAGGGACCAAATTCAGGCCTTCTGATTATTTTTGCAAAGCCTTTGAACTAAAACAATGTTTTTCATCTTTTCAATAGTTGATAAACACATACACATACACAAACACACACACACAAACACACACACAGAGAGGAAGAATTATATTACTGACGTGAAAACTACATGAAGCATAAGCAATTTTATTTGACTTGACCATACCCATTCATTTATGTCCCCTATGGCTGTTTTCTTCTATAACAGCAGAGTGAAAAGTTGCCACAGAGACCATAGGAACCACCAAGGCTAAATTGTCTTACTTTATCTTACTTTCTGGTCCTTTACAGAGAAAGTTTGTGACCCCTACAAAAAAGTGATTGTAGAATGTCTCTAAGGAGCTGAAAAGAACTGTAATGACTGTGAAGATTTAGGAGTTACTGTGGAGAGTGGTCAGAACCAGCACAACTTGAAAAGCTAGACTCCTTGTTCCAAAAGCAGGTGAACAAGAACCCTCACAGCAAATTCAAATCATTTTTCCATGTTCTCTCTCTACATGGTATTTTTTATTTGTTATTTTATGTCTTTGTTCCATAGGCATTGGGCTTCTCACAGCATGAGTGTGGACCCTTCCTGGCACACAGGGGCTATAGTTACTAGGTTGGTGAGGGCAGCAGGGTTGTGGGACCAATGGCTAAGAATCCCACTCCATAAGTAAAGGATGATAGGAGGTGGAATGACAGATAAATGACTCAAAGTCATATCACCGACTCTGTTATCCCACCGACCTTACTGACAAACTACAAATTCAGACATAAAATCATTATTTAGACCAAAGAGTACTAAATGCAAGCATAAGGCATCTCTAACAGCAAGACCCAGTGTGACCCATGTGGTCTACACCAAAAGAAGCCACCCATGTCATTGCGAGCTGCTCAAAGGGATGAATGTGTGAATTTACTAGTGTCACATAGCGGGTGGTAGGTATTTCTTACACTTATTTTGAATTCTTTTTACCAATTATAACCCATTATAAGAATATTGAATTATGCAAAGATATAACTGAAATATCTTCTGATACAGCATTAGGAAGCTCGTGCCATTATGGCAGAGAGCACAGACATGATCCACGTGTAACTAAATGAGAATAAGGTAATGTGGTATTTCC